AGCAAATCGATTGCAAGCATGGCTGCGGCACGCATCTAGAGGTGGGCACTAACGCTTGGAGCGTGTAAGTATGTGATCAAGTACAAGCCTGGGTCACAAAACCTGAACGCAGACACTCGGTCGTCTGCCGATGGCAACTGCCCCAGATGGAGCAGAAACCGAAGAAGCCCAAGATATGGGGGTCTTCACAGCGGACATGTTGGACGCCAGCCCAGTGTCCAGACGACAGCTAGAAGACCTGACGGGGAAGGACCCAATTATGCAAAGCCTACGAGACACGATCAGCAGAGGTTGACCAAAAAGACTTTTGGACAGTTGCCTTCAGCCATACTGGCATCATCGTAATGCACTCACGCTGGAAGGGGCCCTCATCTGCATGGCTGGAAGAGTGGTGATTCCAGAACGTGCACGGAGGGCATTTCTATTGGAGCTTCATGATACTCACAAGGGAGTCAATGCAACTAAGGCACTGGCACGCACGCTGGTGTGGTGGCCAGGCATTGACCGTGAGGTGGAAGAGTTGCTTCACCGGTGCACAGTGTGCCAACGGGCGGCTCCCATGCCACCGAGTAGGGAGCCACTGGCATGGCCAGCAACTAAACAGCCGAGGTCAGGCTGTTTGTGCAAGGGACTTTGGTAATGAACCCCGCTGGCTGAGTGGAACCATCACGTAAGAACTTGGAAACCGCATGGCGCGGGTGCAAACACCTGGTGGGATGATCCGCAGACATCATGACCAGCTACGCCTGAGGCTTGAGGTCAACACACCTGACCCTCTGCACCAACCCAGTGAGCGCAATGAGGATTTAACGTTAGAATGGGGCCAATCCTCAGTGGCTCCAGAGACTTCAAGGGCCACCGTGGAGCCAAGCAAGGAGCAGCGTCCAGTGCAACAACACCGACCGCCCGAGCGGCTGGACTTGTAGTTCCACCATTCCACCAAGTGTGGGGGAAGTGTTGCGGCCGGAAGCGGCAACACTGGCCAGAGCCGCCAGCCTTCTTCCGGCAAAGCAACAACTGTTGTCGAGCGCGACGCCATCACGCCGACTAGGGTCGGACGTCTGTAACCTGTACCCTAACAATGTATTCACGTTTCTCGTCTCTTATAAAAAACCCGAGTTACAAAGCGCTGTATTTCCTGACGCGCTAACAGTAGTAGTAATCTTATTATCAGTAATAGTAGTAGTATTATTGCTCCCAGCAAGGACAGATGCTGTTATTATTATTATTATTATTATTATTATTATTATTATTATTATTATTATTATTATTAATAATTGTCGGCTTAGACGGACCCGTCATTTGACATACCGAAAGCGTTGTGTGAATAAAAAGATTATTATTATTATTATTATTATTGCGCACAGCAAAGGACGCATGCTGAATCTGCTCCCGCTGCTTCTATGGAATACTGCTGTTTCTACACTGTTCAGGGTGCCAGCTATGTGCCCACACCAAGTATACCTGCTGGACGGAAAATAAGACCACCTTTCTGCAATCTGGGGTAAGCTCCTTAATCTGCAAGAGTTGCAAAACATCAGCGGGGCTGCTAGTCCTAACAGCAGAAGCCAGGCCGGATTTGACGGAAGCGTCGTTCAGCCACCACTCCGCACCGCCCTCCCCCACTGCTTCCACTCGTTCGGAGAAACCTTCCTCTTCCCCAGGCGGTCTTCATGCAGACATGAAATCCTTACAAGCCCTCCTCCTCAACTCCCTCGAGGGGATCTCGTTCCTCACACACGAGGTCGCTGCTCTTTCATGACGAGAACGCGCAGCTCTGCCAAGGGTATAGGTATACCTCCCAGCTGCACGCAAGTGCCATACTGTCTTAGCGGACTGAGCTCGGAGCTGTGCGTAACACTCGGAACCAATGGAACCGGCCGGCAGGAAACAGCTGCCTTTTTCCTAAACTGCGGCGATGAGCCGCCACCATCCCCTTCCTTTGGTGACCCTGTCCAACCTTCAGGGCATCCATGCCATCAAGCTCCATCAAACTTCAATGGGGCTGGGTTCCGCAAGGAGGGGCCAAAGGTCCCCAGGGCAAGACGGCCGTTGTTGAGGGCAAGTGTGTCAGCCAGCTGTACACCTGTGGCACTGCCACCCTCTCCACCACGTCGCCAACACGCTGTGCACATGACGCATTTCGGCCCATCTTGCGATCCTCCGAGCCTTTAAACCCACATTAGGAAGCAGGGCCCTCTTCGCGAGCTTGCGTGCACCCGACTGAAGACACGGCATGAAAGCTACTCGTCCTTACGAGTGATGGCTGCAAATGAAGAAATAGAGAAACTTTTTGATCCCCTTCTCTGGCCAGAGGGAAGCCTTTTCAACGAGTTGACAGGTCAGCTGAATGAGAGCCACACATAGCAAGCGGTATTCGAAGCGCCTCTCTTCCATAATGCCGGAACAGATACGTAACCTAGACATTTACTATCAGAATGTCCAAGGTCTTCCCACAAAAGCTAACTTTTTTTCTAATGTAACCCTAACTGAAGTGTCTATTATTGCGCTAAACGAGACCTGGCCTTGTTCTAACATTTATTTATCCAATGTCTTCCCACCTAATTTTGCAGTACTTAGACGTGATCGTGTATTCTCTACTAGGAAAAAGACGTTGGGTGGAGTGCTGAGAGAAAGTGATGCGTCCTTACAACGTGTTAGGCGTCCGGATCTTCAGACATTGTTTGAGTCAGTGTGGATAGAGCTGCCATGTGCGAATGGCGAGCATATCCTCCTGGGCGCTTATTACTTGCCCTCTGACACGTCTCCAGATGGTTTTCGCCAATGTCTACTGGGCATTGAGTGTACAACCAAGGCCCTGAATAAATTCAAATTTATAGTTCTTGGAGATTTTAATGTCTGTAACATATGCTGGAAAGCAGCCTCAGTGTCCTCTAGAAGTTACTATATTATTCAGAAATCTAATTTCTTGCTGAATTTTTCATCATTTACAAATTTAAAACAATACAACTGTATCTCAAACACCCAGGGCAACATGCTTGATCTATGTTTCGCAAATCTAGACTGTACAGATATAACAGAGGGTATGTCAAGCTTGGTTTCCTTGCTCCTCTCCTCTCTCTCTCCCCCCCTCCCTCCCTCCCTCCCTTTCCTCCCCTCCCCTCCTCCTCCTCCTCCTCCTCCTCCTCCTCCTCCTCCTCCTCCTCCTCCCTCCCTCCCTCCCTCCCTCCCTCCCTCCCTCCCTCCCTCCCTCCCTCCCCCCCCCCCGGACGGACATCATGCCCCACTGGAGATCAGTATACCTATCTGACATGGCATGAGATGTTATTCACGGAGACATCCTGAAGTGAATAGACACAATCTTTCCGCTGGAGATTACGTTAGTTTGTACAATCATTTCTCCAATTACGACTGGTCCTCAATCACTCCGTGCTCCCGACGTTGCCCAAAAGGTTCACGATTTCGCTCGCATCGTTCAAGAACGAATGAATCAATTCATCCCGTTACAGGGGGGGGGGGGAACACCGACGGCCGCCGTAGAGGCAAAGTGTGTTTCTGATGAGCTCTGTGTTGCACACCCAAAAGTTCAGAAAAATCATATTCTGCACAAATTAAGGATTACCACCATATTCTATTAAGCAAAAGGCACATGAAGACACCAGTTTTTCGCCGGTGAGTGCAATTGTGGTGAAATTAGGAAGACTTTCCCGAGCGGGAAGGCTAAGCCTTCTGTTAGCGTTGTAGGCCTAGCTAATAATACGGCGATGAATCAGGCCCCGCCCGGTGGAACCGATGCGGGCTGCACGGCTGTCACGTATGCCTCGGGAATCAGCTTGGATATAAATAAAAATAATTTCATCTACCGAAAAGATGCAAGTGCAGCAGATAACCAGGATTACCCATCGTCGGGAACGAAAAAAACAAGGCAACTCTGGATCAACGTAGTCTTGAAGGCACAGCGTCGACGAGCTCGGCAACAGCTAAACCTAACTCAAAAGCAAGTCACGCTGCCACCTTCGCTTTCGTCGCCGAGGCAGCTGAGAAGAGCTACGACCCGCAGACCTGCTCCCACGCCCACACCCTTTCCCCTGGAAGAGTTTAAGCGAATTTTGCGACCATGCAACGGACTCAACGTAGGCCGGCTCCAAGCGTCCTCACTGCTCTAGCCCAGCTTCAGGGCACCAGCACAATGGGGCAACAAGCCAACAGGTGCCTGCAGATCAACCAGAGCCAAAACACTGCAATAGTGAGCATCCCATCTAAAGTTGCGAAACTATTACTTCACATAACCCAAACCAAGATTGGCAAAGCAGAGCACACAGTGGAGGTCTGCGGACTTGCGCCAAACGATGCAGTAAGGAGTTTTACAAGAAGTCCAAGCCCAGTTTTCGATTCAAGAAATCATGAAAAATATAGACCAAGATGAACTTTACCTGAAAGACGCAAGGAGTGCAGCAAAGCACACCCGGAAGAGAAGCACTCAGGAGAGACATACTGCGCAAACTGCCATATCACGCAAATTGACACAGGGTGACACCTTTCTAGCCAAGAAGAATGCAAATGCGTGTCTCCAGAAGAGACCAAAGGATCCGACGATGCAAGGAAGGTTGCAACACAACCGCACAACAACGAAGCGTGAGGAGGCCGAAACAAATAAAACAGATTCTCACCGCGTTAAAGATTTCCCTCCGCTAAGCAATTATCACACGGGGCACACCAGGTAAGCAGACGTACAAACAAGCCCTTAGAGCAAAAGGCGAAACAGCACGACCCCGAAATGGGAAAGCAGCATCCATGTCAAGCATCCAAGACGCTGCCAGTCAAGCCCAATGTGGCTTAGGCAGGTCTGACTTCAACCTCGCTTTGTTCATATGCAATAAATTATTATTATGTCCTCGTTTATGGCTTCATGGACAAAGACATTCAGCTGGCTCCAGGCCAAGCCCACCATAGCATTCTATCCAAAGCAACAAGCCCAAACGTCAGCTCGCAAAAAGTATAAGAGTCGATGAGACACGACTCATGGGGCAGCAATGTTGACCAGGCGGAAGCAGAAACCAGGACCTTTAGACAATGCCGCAGCTTCATCTTCTCTTGAAACGCAATATCAAACAAAGAAATGGCTGCATGCATCACTCACCTTGCAGACATCTACGTAGCCGCTTCCGTTGCAGTCTTACCTCATTCCTGATCTAGACTGCAGAGACAGCAGATGCCGTTCAGCGAACACGCTGCCGCTCGAATCAAGCCAAGTTCTGCGGGATGCACCAGACAAAATATGCTCGTGAGCTTGTATCATTAACACAATCACCTTTCATATCATTTCGTCGTTTACCCTGAGACTGGGGGGTTTTTCGAAGAGCAGAAGTAGCAGAAAAAACAGACAGGTCTCAAACTCAGCTATACGTTTATTTCAACAACTTCCTCTTATATAGTTCGTTTTCGTCGTCAACAACCAATCACATACGACTTCTCCTTTGCACCGTGACTTTTCAGGTTCCACTCTATCACAAAAGAAGCGGACACTCCCAACGTTTCCAAGTGAAAAGGTTCTAGCAGAAGATATGCCTCACAAAGCCCCAAGCACTCTTTTGTGTCCTCACAATAAACAGGACAACAGCCCACAACAACATCCCACTCAAAACTGGTCACCTCCAAAATTGTAGAAAACAGACAATACACACCAGTACACACCACAGACGATACACACCAAAGAAGCCTTTCAAGATGATAAAAAAAAAACACTTAAAATTGTAAAAATTGCTTGCAGCGGTTCCCTATTTGCATGGAAGGTTGACTAATACAATGGAAGGTGCAACTAATAAAAAAAAAAAAAAAAAAACTTAAAATTGTAAAAATTGTTTGCAGCGGTTCCCTATTTGCATGGAAGGTTGACTAATGCAATTTCCTAACGATCTAATCCTAATTGTTTCTCTTACCACCCTTTTAACATCGTTCCTTTCCTTAACAACTACATCCGTTCCAGACCAATCCGTTGTGCAGTTTCTACACTCCTCCAGATGCTTAGCCAACTCCGAATTTGCTGCATTATTTTTAACATTCCTTTTGTGTTCTGTTAAACGATCGTTTAAACACCGAGAGGTTTGGCCTACATACTTAAAACCACACGCCAAAGGAACCTCATATACCACGCCTACGCTACACGGCACCGACTTTTCCCTATGCGCCTTCTGACATCCCCTCTGAGCCGTTTCAAAAGGTGTCAATCTATCTAACCTAAAATCCGTGCTGAATACGACATCCACGCCATATTTTTTTGCACATGCTCTAAGATTGTGGGACACCTCGTGAAAATACGGAACCACAGCGTACCTATTCCTGATTTCTTGCGTCTTCCCCTTTTTCTCCCTGCACTGTAGGGCAATCTGTCTTTTGATGTACTCTTCCCCATATCCTGCCATTACCAGTCTTTCCCACTGGTTTATTAGTGCCTCCGGTCCGAAATGCATGCATGATCTCACCAAAGCATTACTAATCAAAGATCTGACTACCCCGGCTTTTACATTTTTCGAGTGACAGCTGCTCTTTGATAGAACCGGTTTTGGGTTTTCCTTCCCATACTCCCAACAAAGACCTCGTTCCAAATGTAAACGCAGGTCGAGAAATTGCAGGACCTCGCCCCTTGGCCTCTCTAACGTGAATCTCAACTCTGGCGCCGCTGACCTTACTACTAGTTCTAAAACTTGGTCCAATCCTTCCTGAACAGAGCAAACTAAGATATCATCCACAAATCTTTTCACAAAACACTTTGGAGACAACTCTTCTACCTTCTCATATACTTGCTGGTCCACCGTGTTTAAGTAAATTTCCGCTAACAAAGGCGCTACAGACGAACCTATACATACTCCCTCTTTTTGCACAAAATTGCGACCTTCGTATTCCAATACCGTTGACTGTAAATAAAGGTCTAGCACCGAAAGAAAACTATCCACCGCTATTCCTGTTCCTGATTGAAACTTAATAAGGTTCCCTTCCAAGGCGATCCTCACTCTATTCATTAGTCTGCTTTTCTCTAAAGAGTAATATAGGTCCTTGATGTCCATGGAGAATACCGCGCACTTCCTTCCGTGAAACTTTTCCATTACCTCAATCAACTCACTAGAGTTCTTTAAGGCAATTGATTTCTCCAAATTAGCTAACTTCAAACCCCGCTGTAAGAAGCATGAGACCACCTTCTGCCACGTCCCATTCTCGTTAACAACGGTACGTAGGGGCATTTCAATCTTATGATCCTTCAAAAAGAACTTAAGGGTGAGCGTTGAACGCAACGGTTTCAAAACGCTTTTCGCTACCTCTTCCATGCTTTCCTCCTGAAAAACTTTGCAAATGCTCTTCCTCAGCTTCCCGATATTGCCCTTCCATTCATTAAACAATGATCCCAACGCTTCCTCCGACTTCTTCTGAAAGGCCTGTACAGGCAAAACTGCAAACCTTCCTGTTTTATCTGTCTGCAACAGTTTTAACGAACTCCTTTCTAACTCTTGTTTCACCGCTCTCACATCCTTGAAATCCCTCCTATCGATGGGATACGCGTTTCCCATTAATTTTTTAATTTTTACCATTAATTTCCCATTAATTACAGCGGGGTTTGAAGTTAGCTAATTTGGAGAAATCAATTGCCTTAAAGAACTCTAGTGAGTTGATTGAGGTAATGGAAAAGTTTCACGGAAGGAAGTGCGCGGTATTCTCCATGGACATCAAGGACCTATATTACTCTTTAGAGAAAAGCAGACTAATGAATAGAGTGAGGATCGCCTTGGAAGGGAACCTTATTAAGTTTCAATCAGGAACAGGAATAGCGGTGGATAGTTTTCTTTCGGTGCTAGACCTTTATTTACAGTCAACGGTATTGGAATACGAAGGTCGCAATTTTGTGCAAAAAGAGGGAGTATGTATAGGTTCGTCTGTAGCGCCTTTGTTAGCGGAAATTTACTTAAACACGGTGGACCAGCAAGTATATGAGAAGGTAGAAGAGTTGTCTCCAAAGTGTTTTGTGAAAAGTTTTGTGGATGATATCTTAGTTTGCTCTGTTCAGGAAGGATTGGACCAAGTTTTAGAACTAGTAGTAAGGTCAGCGGCGCCAGAGTTGAGATTCACGTTAGAGAGGCCAAGGGGCGAGGTCCTGCAATTTCTCGACCTGCGTTTACATTTGGAACGAGGTCTTTGTTGGGAGTATGGGAAGGAAAACCCAAAACCGGTTCTATCAAAGAGCAGCTGTCACTCGAAAAATGTAAAAGCCGGGGTAGTCAGATCTTTGATTAGTAATGCTTTGGTGAGATCATGCATGCATTTCGGACCGGAGGCACTAATAAACCAGTGGGAAAGACTGGTAATGGCAGGATATGGGGAAGAGTACATCAAAAGACAGATTGCCCTACAGTGCAGGGAGAAAAAGGGGAAGACGCAAGAAATCAGGAATAGGTACGCTGTGGTTCCGTATTTTCACGAGGTGTCCCACAATCTTAGAGCATGTGCAAAAAAATATGGCGTGGATGTCGTATTCAGCACGGATTTTAGGTTAGATAGATTGACACCTTTTGAAACGGCTCAGAGGGGATGTCAGAAGGCGCATAGGGAAAAGTCGGTGCCGTGTAGCGTAGGCGTGGTATATGAGGTTCCTTTGGCGTGTGGTTTTAAGTATGTAGGCCAAACCTCTCGGTGTTTAAACGATCGTTTAACAGAACACAAAAGGAATGTTAAAAATAATGCAGCAAATTCGGAGTTGGCTAAGCATCTGGAGGAGTGTAGAAACTGCACAACGGATTGGTCTGGAACGGATGTAGTTGTTAAGGAAAGGAACGATGTTAAAAGGGTGGTAAGAGAAACAATTAGGATTAGATCGTTAGGAAATTGCATTAGTCAACCTTCCATGCAAATAGGGAACCGCTGCAAACAATTTTTACAATTTTAAGATTTTTTTTTTTTTTTTTTTTTTTATTAGTTGCACCTTCCATTGTATTAGTCAACCTTCCATGCAAATAGGGAACCGCTGCAAGCAATTTTTACAATTTTAAGTGTTTTTTTTTTATCATCTTGAAAGGCTTCTTTGGTGTGTATCGTCTGTGGTGTGTACTGGTGTGTATTGTCTGTTTTCTACAATTTTGGAGGTGACCAGTTTTGAGTGGGATGTTGTTGTGGGCTGTTGTCCTGTTTATTGTGAGGACACAAAAGAGTGCTTGGGGCTTTGTGAGGCATATCTTCTGCTAGAACCTTTTCACTTGGAAACGTTGGGAGTGTCCGCTTCTTTTGTGATAGAGTGGAACCTGAAAAGTCACGGTGCAAAGGAGAAGTCGTATGTGATTGGTTGTTGACGACGAAAACGAACTATATAAGAGGAAGTTGTTGAAATAAACGTATAGCTGAGTTTGAGACCTGTCTGTTTTTTCTGCTACTTCTGCTCTTCGAAAAACCCCCCAGTCTCAGGGTAAACGACGAAATGGTTGACTTCCACCAGCTAGCCTGTACTTTGACTCTTTTCTCGTTAACCTTTCATATGCCAGAATATCCTACCTTAAGATGACGAGTGCTGCTAAAATGTAAATGAAGACACAGCCTACTGTACGTAAATTTTCTGGATGTTGCACCATTTTGGCATACCTTACAATAATAATAATAATGCTTTGTTTGAATCATGCCCCAGAACGACCACTAGGTCATGTGTGGTGGCACATAAAATGGTAGTACATGACTTAACACAATGTACCCCATTTGTAAAAAAGAAAAGACTAACATGCAATCAGGAATTGAAAAGATAAAAAATTAGCTCCCTTCTAAACACTGATATATCTGAAAAGATATTAACATGAGAGGACAGTTCATTACCACAAATCTGCATCCTTACCATCGGTGACAATTTCGATTGAATGGAGGGGTAAAATATACTAAATTCTCTAACAACACTGTTACAAAAGCAAGAAAGAAAAGCATCACTTATTTAAGCCACCAGCAGACATCCAGAAAAAACCACCTTGGGACCTCGCGATACTGCTCACACGCCAGTCTTTCTCGGCAAATTACCATGTGCAGTCTCCACATTAACAGTGCTCACGTTTCGACAGTGTACAAACAAAAAATAGGCAACGACAATAGCGAGAGGAAAATGGGAGCTCGTTCGTGGTGCCGTGCCTCGCATCTCCCCTGTAGACCAAACTGACCATTTTAAACCGAAGCAGCGCCAACGGGCATGGCCTAAGAAGTATGAACGTAAGCACAGTATCCTAACCCTGCCATGTCC